GCAGAGTTACACAGGTAGAAAGCCAGAACAAGTGAAATCAAAGAGATTTTACAATCCTGCAGGGATCATATATCTCTTCAATGGTTGTTCTGAATTTTTATTATGGTGCAGCTCTGCATCCCTCTCCCCAGTCTGAGACTGGACCGATGCCAACCATGGCTGCATCTATCCAGGGATGTCCTAGAGCTGAAATGAAACTCTGGTATTGTGAGATGCAGGCACTGTGGCAAGAAACAAAGGCTAAAAGGTGAGACTCCATATGAGATTCTGTAGTCTGAGCTGAGCGTTTCTTGTGTCCTTGCTGGTTGCTGTGTTAGGGAGAAGGCCGGTAATGAGAAGGTATGAATCTTCCATGGTAAGACTACAGGTAAAACAAATTCCCCAAATAATTTTTCCTACCCATACAGAAGTGCTAGGGGTATTTAGATTCTCTCCTGAGCCAATTACCTCTAGCAGCCTGCTGAGGCTTAATACTGTATAAATCTGGATCAAAGTTTTGTCATCTTTTTTATTTGCTTACCATTTTGGGTCACAGAGTTAGACACACAGCATTCTTAGCATTTCATCAAATGTCACTGTGTAGTTTTTGTATTCCAAGACTTATGTTTTCAAATTGCTCTCCCTTAGTGTCAGACCATTTTCTGAGTAAGTACCATCATCTCTTCAAGGTGTTATTCAAAGTCCTTCTGTTGTAGCTCTTTTCTACTCATTTTTTGCTTATGTTTATTTTTGTTGAGTATTTCTTCACATCTGTCAGTGTTATGTTTCATTTGACATATGTCAGGCAATTTATAAAGTAGTGCCTAGCTCTCTTAGATTTTACTTGCTGTTTGCTTTGAGTTCCCCACTTATCTTCTTACTATGTCATTTAGCTTCAGTGTGTTACAGCTGGTCCCTCTAGCTAGATAATTTATAGAACAAGAAACAAGGAAAGCTGAAGTCTGAATATTGATCCCAAGAGATACAATACATACATTTACGCACAACAGGCTCAGTTCACTTTGTTTTTAACTGTGCCTTTGAGATCTTCTACCACTGATACCTTTCCTTTGATCTCTTTGAAATTGTGGCCTGTCAAAGAGGAGGCTCTGTCCCTGAGTATTTCAGTAGAGCACTAACCTTGAGCATTTAGGGTCTCCTACAACACCAGTAACCCTAACATCACTAGCTTCTACTTGCATTTCTCCACTGTTCGATATTATACCAGAAAGCCATGTCCCTCCAATGTAAGCAGCACATGCTGATAGACAACCCTTGCTGAGAGGAAGGCTAACGCTGACAAATTGCTTCACAAGGGAAACCTGGGCTCATTAAACTTTAGTGGTTGCTGTGAAATTAAACTTCCTCATGTGACTGCTTACAGATTCTACATCATGTGCTTTTCTCAGTTATCAGTGTAAATTCAGAGTAACCACCTAAACCAACAGAACTGAATGAAATCACAGCATCAGAGAGCAGCATCAATAAGTGGAAAATGCCTTCAGTAAGGGTTTATTTTGAATAACAGCCTTTTAACAAAGACTTTTGGTCCCACTGCTCACCTCAGACACTTTGTAGAAAAGAACTCAGACCAGAAATCACCTCCTGTCCTACTGCAAAGCCCTGTTTTGCTCCTATTTCCATTTTTTGGGCCCAGATGCTCCCCTGTTGAAGCATGGGAATCTGGCATCAGTGCTGTTGGATCTCTGAGCAGTTTGAGAGCCTCATCAACGTTGCCCACTCATTCTGCCTTACTTCCTGCCTTGTTTATTTGCTAATCACAGCCCACTCTGTGCAGTTTGTCTTGCATCTCCCCTTTCTTTGCCATTCTATCCTTTTCTTCCTTCTCAGAACTCTAAGCATTTTCCCATTAAAATTTCCTATTTCATATGTTAAAAATGACAGTCAGTGACACAAAAGACAAGCTACAATACATAGTATGGCAGCCAATTATATGCACAGAGAAAGATAACCTAGGCTATTTTAGAGCCTGTAATAGATAGGCTGACCATGGGGAGGCTAAAGATGAGTCAACACTAAGGGAAGTGGGACAGATGGTTAAAACAAATGACTCTTGGGTGAATTCCACTACCTGAGGAAAATACACTTCTGAGAAAAAGATCCTATTTATCATCTGACAAGCTAGTAGAAAAGACGAAGATAATTTCCTGCGTGGCTCCATGGGGAAAATGGCCAGATTTTCTGCTGGTTTGTTCATGTTTTTACCCTCACAGAAGCAAATGTAGAGGGTTACAATGAATTAGTACACCTTGGTTAAAAGAAGACCTAAATCTGTAAGTGGCTCTTTTAGTTGGACTTCGCAAGAGACTTGGTGAAAAGAAATATAGTACCTAATGCAAATGGACATTAGGCAGTCAGCTGATAACACTGTCACTCAGAAAACTTAATGAGACAGGGAAGTATCTAAAAAATATGATGGATAAACACTTAAGTTGACTGATAGGAAATTAATTTATGCAAAATGTTATATTCCACTGAAGCGACATGTCTCTTGATTAGAGTTAATGGTATTTCACATACTAACCTGCAACCTTCCTAAGATTGTTAAGGGGACATCACGGGTGGTCAAAATAAAAATAAAGAGTTGTAAATATGGAAAGCTGAAATGGGCAAAGATGCCAGCATCATTACTGTCAAATGAAGGAACTGAATTCTAGAGTCCTGCTGAGGCCCTCAGTTGGTATTTGGAAGTAACTGGGGACACCCTTGCCTTTTCTCATCCTCGCAGCAAGTAAAACAAAGGTCTCCCTTATTCAAGTGAGTACCAAGTCACCACAGTCTCTTGTACCACCCTTCCTCTTCTTTTTAATTTTTATTAATTTTTAGTGTTTTCTACCAGGCATGCAGGCTATGCCACATTACCTATAAATCTGTCTTCTCTTGGTCCACTACATCATTCATTGCTTTCCACCCCCCCACCTCTTTTTTTAAGGATTTCTGCCCCTGTGTGTCCACCCAATCACATCCTCAGTGTCATTTCAGTGATTTTCAGCTTTGATTCCTCTCTGCTTTCACTCACCTGTGTGAACAGACTTTACTCTCGCAGATCACAACCTCTTTTCCAGTATTTTCTTCTAGTGATACAGATATTGGCTCCATACCTACATGGACAGAGAGCAAGCAATATTTAAAAAAAATATGCAGAAACATAGGATTATGAAAAAAGTACTTATTTTTGCACCTGTTCACAATAACAGCAGCCTCCCAAATGGTCTGTGACAAAAATCCTTTCGTTTTTTGCTAGAATTATATTCTCTGCCTGCAGGTGGCTCCAAATGATAATTCAAAGAGCAAAGGCTGCAGAGGACTTTGGTACCCATACCACATTAAGGGATGTACAATTTCAGCTTTGAGTAACTTAATTCTCTGTGTATCTTGCGCACCGAAACTGGCAAAGCATTACTGCCTCAGCCATGGTTTCTGTTGAAAGGATAAAGTTTATCACTGTTGTGCCCTCTCTAGCAAACCAGGAGATGAGGTTAATCACTGTCAGTTGTTTGTTTGGGTTTTTTTAGAGTGGTGGGATGGAGAGATCAGAGACATGAAAGATGAGGGTTGGGGGGGAGATAAAAAATAAGCACAGGCTGTTCAAGGAAAGAAATATAATGCGTCATAAAACTACAATAATTTAAAGGTTAAATGTATGGAACCCACTAATGAGAGAATTATTCCCATCTATCAATCTCTTAAGTTTAAACCAGCTGAGGAATTCCTGCTAATGATCTACATTAACAGTTTCTTCCATCATTTTCTTGTCTTGAACAGAAAGAGCCAAAGAGATGAAAAGGCTGCTGTGGCTTACTAGAACTAAAGAAAAGTCGTACTATTTTATTTTTGTTAATAGAAAACAATAATTTGAGATGACGAACAAAGGGGTTTACTGTGTGGCTGCAGTGAATTCAACTCTTTTCCATTATACTGCAACATAAACCAGCAAAGACTGATGTCCTGTACCTCAGTTTTTTAACAGCATGTTTCAATTTCACTCATTACTTCCTGTTTATGTTATTGTAGTACAAAGAAGAATCAAGCTCTGACAGCTCTGTCATATGGTGAAATCAAATTGTTTTAGCCTCTTCTGAAGAATAATGAAATATAGTTCAGATCCACTATTTCCCAACTATCAGCTCAGTTCCACAGAATTTTTTCAATACAGAAAGAGATCTACTCCTTTTTTAGCTTGCTGTTAGTGTACTTCAGAAGCAAAGACAGAGGATGATAATTTAGGTTCACTTAAGAAAATAAAACATGTAAGTAATAAATGCATTGAACTTGCTTGCAACAACCTGAAAAAGCAGCCGATGTTATAATCTTAAAAACTAGGACTAATCTTCTTGTACTTTGAAAAAATTAAAAATTAGCATCATTCTTTCTGGAAAAGAAGAGTTTGAAAGATTTCATCCTGTGTGCATCCTTAGCTGTTATATCTCTTAAAAATACTTTCTAAGCAAGGCATACTCACAAAATTTCTTAAAATAGAGTCTCAGAGCTTTAAAAAGCCGTGCTTTTATATACCAGCGAGTGTAACAATTTTTTATTGAACAGTACACATTTTAGAGTGATGTTTAGGTCCGTTAAACATTGTTAATTACAATTTTATTCTATCTTAAGGCAAAAAAATAAAGCAGAATATTGCCAGTTACTAAAATGTAAACGCTGTCATTCTCCATGGTCATTTGCTTGGTAATAAAATTCACAGATGTGCTCACAGCATTAATACTAAAAAAAAAATTATTCTTGTCTTTACAGCTCCTATTTTCAGTCAATGAGAAAAATCAGAGGTCTTTTATTTCAATAGACTAAAATATAAACTATTCATGTATATTCTTTCATCAGTGTATGCACTTAATTCCCATTATTTTTATTGGCAGTAACACATGACTGTTTGAAGGCACAATAAACTCCATAAAGTATAATTAGTTGCTCAGTTTTGCTAGCATCTTCCTACTCCAATATTTTAAAGGGCCTTCACAACACTTAAAATTTCTCCCTCTATGCAGTGGTAAACTAATGCCCACCTCGCGAGAGTAATCTTGATTGTTACCAAAAATGGAAAGACAGAAAGGAGTCTTCTTCAGAAATGTATTCTCAGCTAAATTCTGGTTGGCTTACTTTTATGCCGGTTAGGAACAAGCCCAGTGTAATCTGTGCCCTCATGTATTTGATGGAGCACAACAAGAAAACTTCCCTGGATTCCCACTCAAGTAATATGGCTTCTAGAAACAAAGGCGCTTGCTCCTGCCCACCTTTAAGTTGCTGAGAGCCTAACTATTAACTGCTTCAGTGAAGATATGAGAAGTTGTCTTTTTCCAGAGAGGCTTATTTAAAGTTACGCCAATTTTCTCAAAGTGGGTCCTGTGATAGCAAGGGTTAGTTACACTCTTCATGTCAAAAATAATAGGAAATGCCTGTTAACAACCACATAGCCAAAGAAAATAATTTTGACAAAATTCAGAAGTGCAGTTTCTCAAAACTAAAATCACTCCCTCTACCAAAGTAAAGTACAGCCAATGAGAGATCAAGAACAAGCCCTGCTTCTCCCTCTGCTCCCACCTACCCCCTTGCTTCCCGGCTGCCATGCAAGCCACTAATTTCGCAGGCTTCAAGCAGTCTTGGCCTTGTTTAGAGCCCCAGTCTGATGTCCTTGCTACCCACAGGGTTGGCAGGATCGCACAGCCGGGTCACGCAGACTGTGGGTCTGCACATCCGAGGCTGGTTGTTAGACAGGTTACAGAGACACACGATGCATAGAGGTTAAAGAAAGAACATGAAGCAGTGTCTCAGCACACAGAGGATCCAGCAAAAGGTATTAAAGTAGTTACTGTCACACTAAATCATGCTGATAATTTTATTTTGTTGGACAGAGACGACAGAGACTATTAAACCATATTGAAATAAAATAGCCATAAACAAATTTTCCACTAATGAAAAGTTCTAGAGGGAGAGGAAAGCACATGCCTGGAGGGGGAGAGGGAACAGAGTCATTATGTTTTAGAAGTGGCACAGATAAAGTCTTCACCATAATCTAATATTGTAACAGCAAAATGTCCTTTAAGAACGCTGCATAATTCAGCTATGTGGGATAGGCACTTACCAGAGGCACCTAATCCAGCAACACGGTTGCCTTAGGCTCTCTCTATTGGAGAGAGACACCTCCAGACAGCAAAGCCTGCTCTACATGGAGATCATCGCCACGGCCTGCTCTCACAATGAGAAAAGCACAGACGACAGCAGAGAAGCTGGTAGACAAAGCAGGGTGGTTACAGCCTCCTTGCAGAGGAGCAGGAGGAAGGCAGCTAGCTTGACTGCAATTGTCACCCAGCCGCCTGGGAGCTGCTGGGTTTCATGTTCAGCAGAGCAAAAGGTGCAGTAAAGGTACAGCTCAAAGGTCCCCATCACACCAAGAACCCAGGAACTGCATGGGGAGTGCAAGGTCAGGAGGGGGAGAGGGGGAGTTGGAGGTAACAAAACTCCTCTTGGAAAGATGCATGCTACTGTACTGATGCTGCTGCAGTTCGGGTGGGAGGCATCCAGTGGGAGAAAGAAACCCGCAAAGCAACAAAGCTGGAGCAGACCTGGAATTGGCTGCAGTCAACAGGCTAAGTGCTACAAATCTGAAATACCATTAGCCAGAGACGCAGGCCAGTGAAGGCCCCGAGCCGCACAAAAGCCAGCCTGGCTCATCAGAGGGCTACTGCTCCTCACCGCATTGATTGCTGCTCTAGCTACACTCATGGCATTCAGCTTCAGGTTCTACATCAGCAACAAACTACTACAAACTGCAGAGAGTGGTGACAAAAGCAACAGTGATTAACATGAGATTTTCAAGGAAAGAGTCAATGTACTAAATTAAACCTATCTGCCATTAAGTGATTTAAGTGGGGGACATAACAATGACCCACGTATGTGAAGGATAAAAGAAAAAAATTAAAAATTTAACACCAACAAACAAATAATGCATTTAGACTGCAGGTAAGAGGAAAGAAAACAGAATAAATATTGTAACAACTTCCTACAGATTTATCTGCTCAGTCTTACCCTGTCAGTTTGTATGTGTTCCCATCACTGTGCTCTCTTATGAGCAGTAACCTCTGCTTGCCTCTCCCCAGGCAAATGAGAGCCATTATCTCACTGTCAAGCACTAAAAAAAATACCACAGGCTGCAAGTACTCTAAGAGTGAAAAATAGCAGGACTATTATAAAAAGAGGGCCCAGATCACCTTATGGGCTAAGATCATTGGTATCTAGAGTCATTATACAAAGAATAAAATGACTCCACTCTTACATACTGTCTGTATCAAAGCAGGCTATAAATAAATGCCAACCTTGTTAGAGCACACTGGAGACCTGATCAATCACTTTTGGGTGGAAAAGTGATCCACAGACTTGGTCAATCACTTCTGGATGGAAATGGTTTTCACTTTCATAGGAAGGAAGGTGAATGACAGTGAAAACTCCAAAAATGACACAAAGTAAAATGTAGAATTTAAAGGTGAATTTCACCCTGGCACTAACCATGGAAAGAGATTGTAAATCTCAGTGAGAAATGGGTTCCTTGACTGTCATTTTTGTCTGAGAAAACATCTTCCTGACTCTCTGAATTATGTCAGTGCAGATATTATTGACAGGCAAACATACTAATGGATATGCACTTGTCTGAACAATGTGGTACTAGCAAGGAAAAAAATTAAGAACATACTTATAAGAGCAGAATGAAGCAATCAAAAAGGCCCAACAGAGCTGAACCTCTGAAAATGTGAAGGATAAATAGAGAAGGTTTGGACAAGATTTCACATGGTGTCTGCAAGCAAGAGGTAACAGAAGAAAGAAAGAAAGATGGAAAGGAACTGAAATTCTAGAAATAATTAGTCTGAGGCACTTGATAATTTAAAAGTTGTGAGAGAAGGCTGTCTGCAACTGTATCATAAAAATTTGAGGTGCAAGGTGCTCCTCATAGAATTGACATGAATTAACAATACCTTTTCAAAGAAACACTACAAAGGGAAGAGTGGAAACACACCAAAAAAAATCACACAAGACTAGTAAAAGTAGCCAAATGTAGATTTGACAGATCTATTCCAGATAAATTGATTGGTCAGACTTAATTTTATGGAGAGTGCTCAGACAGCTGGAGAGGGCAGCAACTGTAATGTACAAACAGAAAGGAGACTGTAGTTACAGATACACTCATATGGATTTATAATAAAAGGTGAAAATCTGAATATAGGTTCCCTTGTTTTGCTCTAGCTGCTAAAACATGGGCATATATATTATTAATGGTTAAGACATACAGGCTGAGTAAATGTTAGACCCCAGGGAAATGATGAACACCATTCAGACACATGCAAACTTGGCATTAATAATGACTTTTGTGGAATAGAAACATGTTCCAGTGTTTGGTGCTAACAGCACTGTTAGCAAAATAAATAACTTGCACCCCCAAGTAGCAAAGGGCTTTCCGTAATGCTTTCCATATTTTTTTCTTTTTTTCCTCTCAGCAGAGAATAAAAATAGTTTGGATGAATCCAGAGAAGCCCAAAAATCATTAAATATTTGCCTGCTAGTGCAAGTATTTCACTGAGCTAAATAATATCTGGTCCTTACTTTAATTCATACTAATTTCCGCTCAAGGCTCTACCCCTCTAGTTCCACAGCTAGAAGGAGGAGGAAAGCTATAAAATGGGAAGGTCTTTGACCAGGTCTTTTGCCTTTGCAGCAATAACAGTCCCTTCAGGCTGATGAACTTCATGATGTGGAGAGATAGACCCATCAGTAAATTTCCACATCTGTCAATTCATTACTCCTTCCTGGAGCATTCACTTTCTGATTGCACACAGGGAGTCAGTGTCTACTCTCTGCCTGGTCCAACAACAAGCTAGAAAACTACCAGGGCTGTATATTACAGCCTAGGCTTACCTTGCCCACAGCTGGTAGCAGAATTTGTCCCTGAAGTCAGTAAGCATACACAACATTCAAGTAGTTTGGTGGGTGCATGCAGATATCTCTGTCTAGAAGGCTGACGTGAATAATGAAGGGAAGAAAAGGATATTGGTTACTAACCTTGTGCCTGGATGACCATAACCTTTTTCTTCAGATCAACTGAGGGATTTACAAGACACAACCTTGGCTCCTGTTTCTGAGTCATGCAGACTCCATTCTGGTTTACAACCATCCAGTTTCGGTCATACAGCAAACCCTTGTTTCCCACTGGCCATTCTGTAACCTGGAAAAGAATCAGGAGGGGAAACAAAGGTTTAGAAAATGTTAGCTGCATTAATAGATTCATGCTGAAAAGAAAAGACATGGAAAAGTAACCATTAATTAAATACTTTGAAATCAGGAAAACTTGTGCAAGCCAATGTCAGCATGTAATAAGAGAAACCTTAATTGCAAATCAAAGATAAAGATATCACTGCACAAAGCTGACAAAACAAAATGGAGTTACTCTAATTTGTTACATATTATCATACACTTCGATTTAACAGAGCTATAAGAACAGAGTAAACAAACTCTGCAACACTCTAAAAACTGCTTTCAGTTTTATACTCATCCATTTTCAGGACCTTTCCCCCAACAATTTTCTTTTAATTTACAAAACACGGACATTTCATGGGAGTTGTATGAAGTAAGGCAAAAACCAACCAACCAAAAAGTAAGAAAAATGTGAAATTCAAAATTAAAAATTCTGAAAAAACAAATATTGTTCATAAAACTGTAACCACTTTATCAGTGAGGTTTCTGGTTTAGCTAGGAGCATAATAGTTTCTCCAGATCCCCTTAAAACAAAACACATTGTCTTTTTTGCTATCTGTTCTTCCATTACTTCTGTAACACTCTTTACATTCAATAGCCTATACGAGCATATTGTCCTTGCTTTCATGTACATTTTTCTGGTGAAAAGAACATCTGTTACTGATGCTACACAGATGGTAATCTTGAAATCCAAAAAGAGAGCAATTTTAGTAATGCCTTTGGGTGATATTAATAACTGCTTTCTCCTTCAGAATGTTAAAATATTAATACCATTCTTTTAACATAAATATGGGCATTTAAGCATAGTGATTCAACTCAAGTATGCTTTATAGTCACAGTTGAGTATGGACAAAAGTTAACTACAGCTGAACTTTGATGAATTCTTGTAGAGAAGCTTAGCACAGCTCACACAAATTAACTGGCAAAAGACTTTAGCAAAAAATATTGAGAAAAAGATATGTCAGGTACAGCCTGATGCTCTGAAGAAAAGCATGGCTAGAAGCACTACTTAGGTTAATTGAAAATTAATGTGGATAGATCACATTTTTGTTTAGCATGTGCTTTATCCAGAAGCCCACAGAACCACAATATCCCATTCTTATACACTTTTACAGGTTTTATAGGAGCCTGCAGCAGTGGCTTAATACTGAAGGCCTTACTAGAGAAAGCTGAGGGCAGGCACCAAAAACTTAACACTGAAACTGAAAACTTAAAGCACTACAGGTGAGCTCTAAATAATTTGTCCACGGTGCTATCAAGTGTATTGCAGAAAATACATGGAAAAAATTTAAAGATAATAAATGTTTTTTATCAGCCTTACGGATTTATAATGGCAGCTTTTTAAATGAGTGTGAATGAAAAGCTCAGTGACAAAGAGAAAGTTTATGTCTGACAGTGTCATCTGAAACCACATACAAGAGCCTCAAACTGTCAGCACCTAAATGATGTGAACCTTCTCTCTGTCTTTTTAGGAGAGGAATCATAGCCTAAAAACTCCAATATCAGCTGAAGAACAGATTTTGTCCTTGCTGGAAATTATTCTTTGGAGAGGCCAGTATTTTTTTGTTATCGTGTATAATTAAATTACAAAACGCATTTGAACAGCTGGTGATCACCTGAGAGCTGCAAGAAATTCCAGCTAACAAATCTCCCTTCCAAAACAGAAGATCAATAATCGGTAATACATCTTCCTATGGATCCAACAGATATTTATAGGATTTGCAAGACATGATGAGCAGAATAAACTAAAAGAGCACAAAAATAGAAAAAGAGCATGATGACAATGATTCCTACTCCCTGTTGTTACGTTTAGTTGTTTTGGTTCTACTTCAGCACAGCAATCTTATTCAGGAAATAGCTTAAGTGTTTGCTTACCCTTCACTGAAGGTAAGAGGTTTTATGAGCAAAACAAAATGCTTTTTCTTTAATCAGAGCTTCAGCTAATTCTTACATGCTGATAGGCATTGTGGGGAAAGCTCATCTGACTAGGTAGCAGACAGTTGGAAATAATCATCACCTTCTTTTAAAAATACCCCTGGTAGGTCCAAACCAATGGCAAGTAACTCCATGTTTCACACTGAGATGCAGCACACGACTACAGGTCCTCAGCCCATATTTCCTCTTCCTCTGGGTATTTGCCATTGTAACAAGAATCATACATATACGTGCCCAGCATTGAGTCCCTGTCTTCTCATGGATGTCCCCTATACACTGTCAAGTACCCTATTTCCTCTCCACTTTTCAACTTACTGTATTGCATGTGTTGCTAAGACCCCAATAAATAAAATTGCAACAACAAAATAACTGTGTTGGACAGAGAGTCACAGACGATCAAGAAACAGTCAGAGCTGGTTTGTTGCTAATACTGATACTGGAGATGAGCATGGAAGAACATATGCATTTCTAGTCTTAGTACTTAGCCATGCAACCTGTGATCGTCTCCTGCCATTATTTCAAAGAGGTTGAAGGGATTGTTAAATGATTGCAAATAACTGAATTAGAGCAGTTCAAGCAAATTCTGTCTGCTTTGCTTTAATTTGAGACATAAAAAGAGTGGCTGAATCTGGCTCCCTTGGATGACATCCAAGATGTCTGCCCAAGGCTAGCAGAAATGATACAGGTTAAAAGATGACCCACTTCCTGGTGGACCAGCATTAGGAGGTCAGTCAAGGCACTCAAAAGTCACTAAATACCTATATTCAGGTAACAAATACAGCAAAGAAAAGCAACCAATGAAGCTTACTGCGATGTAAAATAAAACAGGTTAGCGTGCGTTGCAGTAAGCAATACTGTATTACACAGCTTCCAACTTGATTCCCTGAAGTTGTCTGGCCATTTCTGACTACTGAGACAAATTAGAAGTGGGAGGACAGAAAGAAATCAGGGACGCCATGGTTGTACTGATAGATGCTAGCATACACCTTGTTTCCCAGCATGGCAGGTGGGCTGATCATTCCATATAAGGTCTTCTCTACCAGTCAAAAGCAAGGATCATTGCATAGTATAACCAGTACATGGTATTATCCTATCTGCCTTAGTCCATTTTTCTTCTTTTAATGTAAAAATATTCATTGCAAAAGCAAACCAGTACATGGTATTATCCTATCTGCCTTAAGCATGTTTTGTTGTTTTTTGGTTTTGGTTTTTTTTTGTTTTTTTTTCAGAATTTTCTTTGAAACATTTTAGGATGCGTTTTTCTTTATTTCCCAATAATGTCATCATGAAGGCCAACACAATTTTCGAACACATTAAAGGCATCACTGAATAGGTTTTAAATTATGCAAGTTTAAAAATGTTAGTGGTCTTACATATAATTTATCCACCAATCACTAGAAATTTGCATTTTATTTTGAATTAAAAGCTAATTAGTCTTCTGTGTTGAGATGCAATTTTTATCCTTTGAAATCTACTGAACGAATAATAAAGTTATTAATGTTTAAAGCCCTAACCTTTTTCACTGGGCACACTGCATAATATAATTATGCAAAATTAATTGACATGAGAGATATCCATGTTTAAAAATGCATGTCTAAAACACATTTTTATGTTGGAAAAGAAAAAGAAAAATAATCTGGAATAGAGGTTACTCCTTTTCTCTGCTTCTCCCCATTTAATAATGTAGGGAAAATAAAGTGTATTTAAAAAGCTGAGATAGAATATTCTGCCCTCTGCTTCCTGTGCTGTATGTACAAACCCCATAGAACAACACTGAACAGAAACTGTCCCATGGCCAGGAGCATTTTATAAAACATACATGCTGTGGGAACTAATCGACCTGCAGTGAGCTGATGATCTTCATGCCAAGCTTCATCTTCCCCGCTGCCAAAGCACTTTGCTCTCTCATTTTCTCTGGAGGTCAAGCACCTCCCATACTAAACCACTTAGAACAGAGCAGAGAAATCAAGAGTTTAGGAGAAGAGGAGATTATGTGACTCTAAAGAGGAGATCAAACAGCTCTGAGTTTGTACTCATATCCTCATCAAGTTTGTCCTCCTTCCACTAATCAAGTCCTCTATCCTGCAACCAGTAAGTCAGCAGGCAGACTTCACTGGCAGACAGGCTGGGTCCTGCACACAGAGTTAGCTGGAATTTTCCACTGTACATATTATTTTAGGCAAATGCAAGTGATCATGTACTTAGAATAAAGCCCATTTACTACTGTCTGGGGATATTGTGATTCTGTGGGGTTTTGGACAGAGCACATGCTAAAGGTCTGACCTACCATACCAGCTGGAGGTCTGCACTTGAACTTAGAAATCCAGATACAAAATAAGTGAATGCATTGCAGTGCAATATCTAAACTGCTTTCACCTTTCCACATCAACTTGCTTAGAGTTACCTTATAACTGAATGAAAAGGAGATCAAATTTTTAATTGGAAAAATATTTTTCTAGCTTTCCAACAACTACAAAGCATCTAAAGGCATTTTAGATTTAAAATATTAAACTGAATTTCAATTCTTGGTTTCTAACTGAAGACCAAGGAAACTGCAAGGTACATGATTATTACTTCAGGATTTTGTGATTCTACTAATGTAAGGAGATAATATAACATTAAGTGTGATGTCTGTATGACAAAGACCACTAAGAGACTTGCAAAGGAATACTTTTCTTTGGGATTCTGACTTTTCATTATATAACCTAGAAATCCTGGCATAATCAATATTTTAAAAGGCAAAATGATTTTCAGGATTTTATTCCATTTAATTGTGGTAAGGTTTCTCTAGTGTGTCTTGCTTCAAACTCCAGTGCCATGTGGCATGGGTTATTTTCCCCTTTCAAGGTGACACAGGCTGAAGTTGCAGTAATGACATACATAGATTTGTGAGGGTGATGCACTCTGCAGTTAATGATGATGTAGGTTCTGGCAGCACTGGCTTTCTATTCTGCTTTTAGCCATCTGGAAGAGATCAAGCCAATGCTTGATTTAGAATGAGACTAAATGATTTTTAAAGCTCATTACAAATGGTGGGCTTAAGTTGCCATTTGCACCTCTTCTATAGGGAGACAATGAAATTGACAGATCTTTCACAGGCTTGTTATGAATGTACAACAGGTCTAGAACTGTCACTCAGACCTTTGGGAACAAAAACCTGAAGAATGCCTGGTGGACAGGAAGAAGATCATGAAAGCAAACACATTTTCTTTGGGGATTTACTTTAATATTGAAAATAATGAAAATTAATCAATCTTTTGGCTTCATCTCTTGGCCTGCTCTCCTTATGCATTGAAAGCCCTTTTTCATTGTATCTGTTAGGTCAACTTCTACTGTTCTTTCACATGTACTCATGTATCTTCTATTGACTAAGTGGAAGTACACAAAAAAAAAAAAAAGTTCTTTGAGAAGAGGAGGAATTAAATGCTATTGAAAGTGAACTTCCAGTTGCTTCCAATACCATATATTAAAACCAGTATATCTTTAATTGTGTCTTACTCTTTGGCAATACAGGCTCTAACAGTGCTTAGCTTAGTGGGTTCTAATGTGGCTGATACTTTACTATTAAAAAATATAAAACTAGAATACACTAGACTTCAAAACGATTCTAAGCATACAAAACTAAACCTCATAATATAGCTGCAATTTTAATATCTGCATTTTAAAACTATTCAAATCAGAGTGTTAGCCGAGAAATCCAATTTGCCTTGGATTCCTCCTATAGTCAATGGAAAGAGATATATCAGAAACAGAAATATCCAGAAACAATTAATTTTTCCTACTGCAGGTACCTATTTTATGATAAGATGAATTAGCAGGTATTCATCTCTCACTGCTTACAGAATACTATCTAACTTCAGAGGGGTAAGCTGAGGTAAGATGAACCCTGCTTTCATTCTCGGCCCATTAACACGTCTGTCACAAGAAGTATGCATGAGAAACAGGGATTTTCCACCTCCATATGCAACTGCAGTTCTGTCTGCCAGGGAGTACCAGGGAGGATCTGATTAATGTTTATAAATATCCAAAGGGACAGTGTCCAGAGGATGGGGACAGACTCTTCTCATTGGCACCCAACAACAGGACAAGAGGCAAAGGGCATAAACTGCAGCATAGGAAGTTCCACCTGAACATAAGGAAGAACTTCTTTACTGTGAGGGTGACAGAGCACTGCAACAGGTTGCTCAGAGAGGTTGTGGAATGTTCCTCCCTGGAGATATTAAAAAACCCTCTGGACTAAATCCTGGCTCATGTGCTCTAGGAGTCCTTGCCTGAGCAGAGTGGTTGGACTAGATGACCTTCAGATGTTCCTTCCAACCTCAACAATTCTGTGATTCTGTGATCACCTAGAGTTGTTAGCCCTCACAGAGCCCGAAGAAGAAATCTGGCTCATCTTGTGGGGAAACATAAGCTGTCTTTCATGCTGAGGTACATCTTACCTGCTCCTGGGCACAATCACATCAAAGACTTCCTAGCACTGAATGTTGTGGTATGTATCTCATAACACCAGCCTGCATGTTAAAAATAGAATTTAACCCCAAAGGGGCCTGAATACTGCTACAACATATGTCAGCAGCTTCTGTAATACAGCTATAATAACTGCAACACTTAAGCAAAGGTTAAAATATTTTCACATGAAATGTGGGATTGCTTTGATTTTCTAAACAGTTTTATTTAGTGCGAGGTTAATAAGGTGTGGAAATTGTTTGTTCAGGTCTCATTTAATGCTCGAAACTGTCCCTCTGAATTAAAAACATCATAAGCCAAACCAAATTTAAAAATACAGATGTTTTGTTGATCATTTTAACAGTCTTTGCTTTAGTTCCTCAGCCTGTTTTTGCATTAAGGAAAAAAAAAAATCATGATCAAATCAATTGAGTAGCCATATTTTAAATGCAGGTGATTTGCCACTGGATTTGACCCCAATTACATTCAGATGTGAGACAGTGACCTACACCAGCAAGTTTTCATAGGGAAAGTTATAACGATATTGACATTCATTAAATCACTTCCCAGTATGGTACTAAACAGAGTAACATTCTAGGTCATGTGTGGTCCATACACCATACATCATGCATTATTTAAAAAAAAAAAAGTCACAGCTAAGGTGATGATATTATTAACTTGGTAAAAAAGCAATTAAAATCTTCAAAGACTGAACTTTCAAATAGTGCAGCAACACTTAAATGTCATATTTCTGTTGCAAATGTATTTTTAATGATAACATTTCTCTGTAATGTAAATCAGCCTCCTCTCAATTATAACTTGTTAATCAAGTTATTTCTCAATTGCTGCCTACCCATCAATGCCTACAAGTCCATCACATGTCATTCTGTAAAAGCATACTAATTACTTGATTATATTTTAGTCAAGTTTTGCAAATCCAACTATTTTCTTCAAGGCTACATATTATGTGCAGATTTGTCTGTTGGGAGGGAGAGGGGAGACCAGAAGACAAATTTGCATCCTGCAGCTTCAGTCTAATTGAAAATCCTTCAAAGTACCTTAGCATGCAGGACTCGATCCTAGAAACTGGAGAAAAAGAAAAATGAGTACCCACGTATTGCTTCCTATTATCTCATGCACACGCTATTCCTGGTCGACATGTCTGAGAGGGGTAAAGAAAAACACAAGGTTGAGCTGAATACTGAAGAACAATTCAAAGAATATACCTCAAATGCAGAGCAGGATTTGATTGGGTAGAGGTAAATGTTGGTGACAGTGATGGGCTTGCCACCTCTTCTACATGTTGGTACTGCAGTCTCAGAAACAGCTGCCCTTATGCTTTCCACCTCAGCCTCTGGTGGCTGCCAGTTGACAGTTGTCTTTGTCACAGATGAATTATTCCTGAGTTCTGTGTCTGAGATGTGTGGTATTCGAGACAATTTATCTGCATTGTTAAAGGAAGGGTGGTCATCTGAGACAGACTCTGTTGTCAGCTTTGTAACAGAGGACTGGAGTGGAATCTCAGTGTCCGACTTGGAGAGTCTGGTGGCTACGATGAATTTCAAAAAAGTCTGTGCATCTTCAAAAGAAGACATGTAGCCAAAGGATATTCTCACAGAACCAGTAGGACGCCCATCCACTAGGTCTATATCATCTCCACAGACGTGACCAGCCTAGTTTGAAATAGGAAGAAAACCAGAGAGCTATTATGATAAACTTTATATTATTTCCCTCTAATTATACATATTTATTAATGAATCTCTTACTTCTAATCTGAAAAATTGTTTTAAAAAATACAAAGTTAACTCATGAATACAAAGAGAAAATGGAGGGAAAAAAAATCCCAACTATCTTATTACTTACTCAAGCTAGGAAGAAGCTAATTTTGAGATGCTTGTCCTATTCTACTCAAGAGAGTAAACAAGAGAGACTTCCCAAAAACTCGTCAAGAATCGAAAAAAGTTTGTATGTCCCATCATGGCCTGTTAGCTAGGGCAGTCTCCAGGTATATTCCAGTCTCATTTGCATAGTTCACTAGGATTTAAACTGGAATATTACATTCAGGTAAGTGAAAAAAACACTAAATTGCTGATTTTTCTGGGGCAGTTTTCTTGATATTTGCTGTTAGAACAGTTCCGTTTTATACTATCAGTGGCTTATTCATGGATTGTGTTAAATAGTCCAATGGATAGCTCTACAGCTGAGAACTGGTTTGGGATATTAGCAAAGACTTGAATCTAGAGCTCCAACATCCAAAGTGTCATTTGGATATGCAATGAATGTGTCTTGCTGATCCAGTCAACACATTGCTTCAGGATGGAAGGAATCAGCCTTCCCCCTAACATTTCCTCCTTTGAAGAACACAGGGTGCCACTCATGAAACATCTTTGTTGAAAAATGCTTCAAATACCGTAATAGTGACCTCCACATAGCCCTCCATTTGATATGTCTTTCACACAGCACTCTCTGGAAAAACCTCCTATACAGTAGAAGTTTCTCCTTCAGAAGTGGGTCAGTGAATGCTGCCATCACCTCCAGTGAGATGAGCTAGAGACCGCATTTGTTCATCCATCTAACATTATGTCACCAATGGACACAAGATTTAGTCCCAAGTCAGCATCCTTATTCCTGTAAGTGCAGCAGCTTTTTTTTTTTTTTTCCTCAGAACTTCATTTTTTTAGGCATTTCTGTTAAATAAAAATGAAGGTGTGAATAGATTATTTGCATGAGGGCTTTTTTAAGCAAAAAATGTCACAGTTCAATGAACACAGATACCATTTATGCCAGAATTTAAAAAAAAAACCCAACCCTCTATGTCAAAGCATGCAGTACAGTAGTAAATATTTTAATGTAGTGTGATCTAGTTTTTATTCTTGACAAAAGGGCAGAAACAACATTTGCAAAATTAGGTTGCATCTATTAATATACATGTAACCCTTTTGCCAAATATTGACTGATTGACTGAGGAGAGAGGTTCCTGCTGTGCAAATAACCACGAGTTTCTACCTAACATCCTAAGAAAACTATCCACAATTCTCCAGGGACTCTTGAGGACAGAAAGTCCTCCCTCACAGGCATTTTATACGTGGAAATCTTCATCAAGGAAGAAAGAACACTGGTAGCACCCTGGGAAAAGGCAGAACTGAAGTATATGTGCAAGTTATGTGATAAAAGGTGCCTTCCCCTACACAGTAATGTTGTCAATAACTCATCCAGATCCATCTAAAAGGACTGATGAGAATGTCCCAGAATAATGACTGCTTGACTGCATCATCTCATCATATCACTTTCTCTTTATCAGTTTTGGTTTGGCCTATCTTGAGGAACCTGCTCCCCCTTGAAAATTCAACCATTACTCATCTGCTCTTGGACAGATTATGCATGAGGAGACTAAGGACATGGAGCTTTCCCCTTTAAGAATTTGTGCTAACAATCTTGCATATAAATCTGTTTGCAAAAATTATCTAAATGGGTCTGTGAAATTATAAGGAAGCTGTAATATCAATACAGTCATTATAATTTTTTATCTTTTGAAGAATACTGTTAATAAACTTTTGGATTGTTCTGTATTAATTCACTGTAATTTCAAACTCTGACAAATAGGCAGACTTGGTCAGGCTTGATGGGGCTCTGAGCAAGGTAAAGGTGTCCCTGCTCACTGCAAGACTAGGTGACCTTTGAAGGTCCCTTCCAACCCAATATATTCTATGATTCTTTGAAGCCTCCCTTACTTCATTGTAATACATCCTGTTACACATCTTTTAATGACAATTTGTGGAAAATATTAGTCATTTAGAAAACAGTCTTTAGATTCATGTTCTAACAATCTAACACACCAGTAATTTAGGTAGATGTCATCTAAATTGACTTCACTCTCTGAGATTCACTGTGTATTCTCATTTATTGTTTCTTGTCCAGTTTGTGTATGGCTTTTAAACTGTAACATCCAACAGCAACAGGTCTGTAATACTTGAACATTACTAAAGGCAATTAAGGATACTTAAGGAACAACATGAGATGAATTGTCCAGGAACTTCTGTTTTGCAGGAAGCCTGGATTTCATGTAATTCCAAATCAGAACAAGAAACATCAATTTCGTATTTTCCAATGAAATAAAAACAAGCAACACATACTGCTTTGGGTCCATCAAATTATTCTGTTTCAACAACCCATTTCAATGAGTCAAATTTCATCTCATTTAGTTCTTTAACATGGCAATTGAGTTGAAAGGTCAGAGAAAGCAAATCAAACTTAACTTCATTCTTAAAGTTGCAGAGACTGAAAACCATAGGACATGGTACACCTACTTAGGGGTTTTTTTTTATACAGATTTTCTTCTCCCCTTCAAACCTCCCATACTTAGGAAATTCAGAACTGATAGCCAGACATTCTGGGTCACGGAATCTAGTTATTTTCCATGGGCAATATGTAACAAAATTTCATTCAGAAACTAACCTGCAGGTTCCTTTGGATGTCCTCATTGCTTATACCCAAATGCATCTGGCAGGCTCCTGTATTACAGAAGCAACCTGTGCGGACATGTATGTTA